TTTTAATGACGTTAGTGAGATTTGTGTGGTGCACTGTCAGGTTGAGAGGAGTGCTGGGGTTGATGCCTGCCTCCGCCGGTGCCCCTCGCCCAGCTCAGTGTCTGGGTGCTGGTGATGTCAGCAACTCCAGCAGTGCTTCAGCCAGTGAGGACAGCTGCAGGCAGAAGAAACAAGCAGAATTTGTGCTGCAGGTGTTGGAGCGCTCTAAATATGTCAGATTCCTAAATTAAAGGGATTAAGAAAGAAAGAACACAGATTAAAAGCAAAACCAGCTGAATGAGCACTTTACAGTGTGCGCATGGAGACCTGGTGCAGTGTTGGGCTTTCTCCTCCTTCATGTCACTGAGATTTGCATGGGAGGTGAAGGCCCCTCAAGAAAGCTGCATTTTGTGTTGCTCAGCAAGGCATTAGCACCAAGCGAGGATGTCATTCTTCATTAATCTTGCTGTCTTCAGAGGGACAGATTTGCCAGAAACCTCCTGTGGCTTTTTGTTGCTCGGATCCCACAGACTGGCCATAAAAATGGCCTCACCAGATACATTACACCAGATTTACGGCTGGTCTGCGCCCATGCAGTGTAATGCAGCTGTGGCCCAGGAGTGCCCTTGGCTGTGACGTTGCTTACCCTGATGCACCCCACATGGCCAGGGCCAGGGTATGTGAGAACACAAACAGCTTGGTTGTAAATGCCACATCCCTAATGTGCATCCGTGCTTCCACAGGACTTCTCCACTCGGAGTCTGTTGGCATCTGGAAAGGAAAATAAAAGGACCTTCTGTGGACTATTCAGGATTTCATGCTGTGAGAGATGTGGTACTGAGTACACTGGGAACGGCATCTTCAGGCACTCAGCCAGACTTGTTTGCAGTGGACAGGCTCCAGCTGGCCTTGTGCACCGTGCATTTGGAGCCCTTCACCTGGGGAGGAGAATCCCCATTGCCACTGGCCCCAGATTTCCTATCCTCAGCACAGCTCGTGTTCAGCCTTGGAAGCAGATACAAACACCCCTTTGGGTGGCCCTGGGGACACAGCAGCTCCCAAGCTGCCCACTGGGGCACCATAGGAGCAGGCTGGGCCTGGTGGCATTGCTGCAGCTCAGCCCCTGCTGCCATGGGCCCCAGCTGGGCCACAGGAAAAAAAAGGATGCTCTCCAAACCAGAAGAGCTCTCACTGGTGATGTTCTGCTCTCCCTTCAGCTTGTGGGTCACTTCCTCACCCTTTGCTCCCAAAAATGCTACTTTTGGACTCTCCAGATGCTGCAAGCAACAGTGCTGAGACAACACCATGTACCCTGCACACAGATAATCTATAAAACATTAGAAGATGGCTGGTAGTGGGTGAAGGAACAACTGCAGATTGAAGTCTGTAAAAGCTGGGTGGTGAGAGCCCAGTGCTGGGGACACTCAGTGCGGCCCTGATGGAGTCCTGCCAGGAGCCTCTCAGTGTTTGCCTCTTTGTGGTGCTCTTTTCTGAGCAATTTCATCTAAAAATCCTAGATTAATCATGAGCAGTGCTTCATCTGGTTTGAAGGGAGCAGTGTGCTGTCTGCAGCGTTCATTTGCTGTCCTTGGCAATGATCATTTTTGGGTATAACACTTATATTACATCAATTAGAGCATAGAATGGGATATGAATTATCCAAAGCTGTTCCAATCACCACTTAAATCTTTATTGATTGCAAGTAATAAACATAACTGCAGTGTTGCAGAGAGTTTATGCCACGCAAGCACCAGTTCCCCACAGCTGGTGAGCATCTGGGGTTAGTGGGTGAGGTGTTTCAGTCACATCTGAGCACCCTGGCCATGGTTCCCTCCTGCTGTGATGAGTGAGGGCCCAGCCAGGCACTGGGCCATCAGTGTGTCCCACCACTTCTTCCTGCAAAATGACACTTTCCTGGCAAGGCTGGCAATGGAGATGATCTTCCCATAAATTAAAAGCGCCTTTTCCAAGAAGCAGCTCAGCCTCGGTGGTTGTTCAGCAGTGCACTGGCACATCACTGCAGTGGGCAGGAATGGGAAGCTGAGCAGTGGAAGCGCCAGCCTGGCGGTGTTGGCAGCTGTCCGAGGGGCTTCACTGCCATGTGCTCCCACAGCATGCAGTGACAACACTGGATAGCATCTGGCACTGAGCATCTGCTTTCAATAGGTGAAGGTGAAACCACAGAAACAGACATAAGAGGTCATTAATCAAATTAAAAACCTGTTATGGTTTATAATTCGTGAAGCGCATTTTACCTGCTAACATTTGAATCTGATAAAGAACTGTTTCTTTGATAATTCATTTACTTTTCTTCAACTTCAAATTCATTCTGGCCAGAAAGAAAAAATCACCACATCACAGCCCTTCTTAACAGAGCAAAAAAGACTGCAACTAAGCTGAAACTTAGTGCTGAGGCACTGCAGCAAGAGCTGGGCAAGTCCCTCAGACAGGGAGATAGTGTCATGAAGAGAAGGAAAAAGAGAGAGAAGATAGGTTCTGTCTCAAAGCATTTTCCGTATCTATGCAATGGAAAAATAATCAGATAACAAAGCAGAAATGCAGTAAAAGCTCTGCAATTTGCACATAGCAACTCTTTTGAGGGATTATCACACCTGTAAGCATGGGGAACATACCCAGGCTGGAAGCCACGTTGTGTTTGTGCCAGGAGGGGACAAGGAGGTGCCACAGCAAATCTGACATTTAGAGGGGAAGTAGCCAGGATTTAGAAACGGAAGCAGAAGCCTAAGGGACACAGACCAAGGGGGTGGTTTCAAAGAGTGAAAGTACAGTGCCTTTCAGAAATCACACCACCAGCACTGTCCTGTGCAGACAGAAGCAGGATTTGGGGCTGGCATCCCAAGCCAGAAGGGGCTGAAATGTGCAGAAAGCATCCTGGGGGTCTGAGCTCCTCACAGCTGGGGGAAGAGCCAGTGGGTACCTTGGAGGCACCCAGCCTGTGGGGACAGAGCAGCACCTCTTGTCTTCTGGCTGTAAGGGGTGGGTGCTCACACCAACACCTGCATGACCAGGAGCAGGGAAACCAAACTGCTGAGAGCAGTAAAAACCGTCTCTGTCCCAGGTGTAAAATAGTGTTTGCAGCAGACTCTTAGAAAGCATCAACTGTAGCAAATGGCTTAATTTGCCAGCGGAGCACTGTTGTTCGGCATTGGGCTACTGGTACCATTCCCCTTGTCTCAAGACTTCCAGTCTTACATGGACATTAGCAACCAAACTCTTCAGTGGCATCTGGGAAAGCCCAGCAGCTCCGACCTCGCATGGTTACACTGAGCTCAGCCAAATCTGATTGTGAAAAAAACACAGAATCAAACAAAATTCTTCTGCTGTGGTGAGGAAGAAAACCGCAGCAAGTCTGTGCCCTGGCTACTGTCCCACACCAAGGGATTCTGCCGGCCTGATCCCACTCACTACAGCTCGCTTTGCTGGTATACAGAGCACAGAGAGCTCGAGATCTCAACCTCAAAACTTCACTTTCATAAAAGCAGCCAAACTAATCAGCAGCTGGTCTGGAAACCACACAGGGAAGATGAAAAAGAATCCCATCATAAATTAAAGGCAGAGGAAAGGCAGCCGAATCCACCAGGGAAAGGGCTAAGGACCTCACAGAGCATCCCGTACAGCCCCAGAACAGTGACCTAATTAAAGAAGCAGCTCGAAAGCACATCATCATCCCAGGGAAAAGATGAAGAAATGTCTTTTGAGAGAGACCCAGAAACAGTGCAGGGGATCCCGTGAGCCACCTGTGTTGTGCCCAAGGGTGTCAGTGGCTTGGATGCAGCCTTCCTAATGCAAACGGTGCCAGGATCAAGCTATGAGAAGAAACCTTCCTGCAGCAAGCACAGAAAAACCTTCCCGTATTTTGAGTACCGGGCAAAAGCCTGAATCTGCCCCCAAATCCCAACCCTTTCCATGTGGAGGACTTTGGTACAGGTGGGTGCCCACCATCCTGCACACTCAGTGCTGGAGCCAGGGGAGCCGCGTGGCCACCTGGGGCTGTGACCAGCAAAGGCAAATTCCCCTCTGTTTGGTTAAGACAATTTTAGTTTACTTTTATATATATATATATATATACTTCTTTTTAGCAGTTGCGTGTGCAAAATTAACTGCAATCTTGGCTTTAAGAAAAATAATAAAGCGCCCTAATTAGCATGTTAAGCCTTCTCATTTCCCAGTACTGTATAATGTTGTGAAAGCTAATTTATAATGTATTGGATGTTATGCAAATTCTCTGTGTTCCGTAAGGGGTTTATAAAGGCATGCAAATTAAAAATAGTGTTTGGAATGGGACTGGGGGGAGGGGGAAATTTGCACAGTATAATGTGCAGAGGAGCGAGAAAGGTGTTTATAAGCCTCTCCCCATTGTTTGTGTATTCTCAGCCGCACGATGCTTTTCAGAGCAGGGAGATGCACTGCATAAAATCTCTCCAAACCGGATCGTTTTAAAATGAAATGTGGAATGAAAGAGCCGTCCTCCAAGCGGTGAGCCACCCGCTCGCTGCTTGCAGCACGAGGTGATGCAGCCTGCGGTCGCTGGGACCGGCGGTCCCCACACAGCGGCACGGTGTCAACGAGGATAAAAGCTCACAGCCCGGTGTGGGCACACGATCCCAGCCTTCCCTCAGCCACAAAGGTGTTTGGAGCAGGGCTGCTGGGCTTGCTGGGCTTGCTGTCTGTTAGTGCCACTGAGGTGCCGTGGACCAGGCCCTCCAGCACCACAGAGCTGCTGCCAGTGCTGGGCTGGGCAACGGGGCGATTGGGCTCGCTTTGTTTCTCCTACCCTCATTTAACAGTGAGTGCCGATTACTCAAAGCGATATGGGCAGGACCTGGTAATATAGCGTTGCTGTAGCGTTAACTTAAGGGGATGATCCAGTTGCCTGCAGTGTAAATACTTTGTGGCCAGGAACCCTGCTTTATCGCTTTGTATAGTTTTAAAGTAGTTTAAAGCTTGAATAACATAAAATAACATAATATAATGTTATTTATGTTATTTCCCACGTGAAGAACTCCTGTAAACCTTGCAGTATTGAAACTCAGTGAACAAGGCATCTTAGACAAGCTGAAAAACAAATGGTGGTACGATAAGGGTGAATGTGGAGCCAAGGACTCCGGAAGTAAGGTCAGTCGCTGAAGGTCTTTTCGTACTGATTAGCAATCACATTTTGACCCACTGTTTGTGTATACAGAGAATGACTTTCAAAAGTTGCTATTTGCATTTCGAAGGTTGAAAGAAAAGAATAGAAAACAATTGTTAAGTCTCCGAAAATGACCGCAGTTTTTCTTACATGCAGTAACAGACTTTAGTTGTAAGTATGTTTTGCTATTTAGTAATTTGCTGCACAGACATGGAAGGAGAATCCCCCAGAGCGCTCGGAGCTGCCTCCCTCATTTGAATTTGCAAGTTTCCTCTCAGTCAGGGTGTTTTATTCAGGCCAGCATCTTTTTCCTTACTATTATTTTCAGTTTGATTGAACGCCTACAATTTGTTTCAAAATTGTAACATAGATCCTATAGAGCTCAGTCTGCAGAACAGTCAGGTGCTTGCAAAGGGTAGACGAGTTCAGGACAGAGCCCTGGTGAGGAAGAAGCTCCTTTCCTGCCCTATTTTCCTCTTCAGTTCAAAATGTGTTTAGCTGAATTTTGGAGCTGTTTGTGGCGACTCTGTCTGCCGTTCCCTTTCCACCTGGACCCGTTTTGCTGCTGCACAGCCACTGCCAGCTGTGTGCCCAGTCCCACAGGGACGCCATGTGGGCAGGTCCGGCTGCATCAGCCGTGCTGGGTTTGCAGCAAACACTCATTTGAGCCATTCAGTTTAAGCTATATTAGGATTTCATTGTTGTTTTTTTTTCTTTAATGCCTATATAGCCACTGAGGATAACAACACCGGGGTGAAGGAGGCTTTCAAAGGCACCTCTAGGAGTTGTCCTGCTGACATCAGCACAGCTCCCTCGTGCCCTTGGAAACACTCACTGTAACTGATCCCCCCAAAAATGCTCCCAATTTGGAGGCCCCTCCCCATGTCAGGCTTCATTCAGCATTCCAACCGAGCCAGCAAGCTGCTGCCCTGCTTTCAGCTGAGCTGGGGGCTGCTTGGGATATAGTCCTGGATCTGCTCTGGGAGATGAAGGGAATCTGAGCAGAGTCCCTGCAGCAATTGGCAAGAGGCAGAAATGAGCAATATTTCAGATCTCAGCACAGGCTGTTTGCTAAAATGCATCTATCTAAACTGCCTATTTAGATACAAGACAGACACATACAAAGTGCATCCTCCTTTATTCTGAGTACATGGAAGGTTGGATGCCCCTGGAGATAGCCACACACTGTCTGGGAACACCTGGGCTTACTTTGCCTTTCAGCTCAGGCATGAACCAGCGGCATCTCCCATGTGCAGCAGCAAAAGGGTTGTATTCTTGCTTAATCTCATTACAAAATCCTGGTTTTTAAAATGAAAGCCTTCTCCCCGCCCCTTTATTTGCCATGTCCTGAAGGGATGCAAATCCCAGGCAGCATATTCTGTGCTGCAGTAATATTTTCTGCTCCCTGCAGGTGCTGTCTTAGCTTAGGGCTCTCCTGACCTTAGCCCAGCTGACCATCTTCCTAGGGTTGTTTTTTTTTTTTTTAAACTGTTGGGAAAAAAAGGTAGAAAAGTTTAGCAGTGTGTATCTCACTAGTTATATCTACATTCACCAAAGCCAGGCATCTAGTGGCTTGGGTATTTCTGTTTACTTCCATAATGCAAGAACCTGCTACTTTAAGTAGCCCTGGGCTGTCCACTAGAGCTTCCCAAAGGTGCCCTGGCCTCCAGCTTTGTCCTGGGGCAGTGAAGGCCTGGGGAAGCCAATGGCAAAAAATCCTATTGACTTCCACATGGCCGAGGTTTTGCTTGGCAACCGGCGCAGGACAGAGCAGCTCCTGCTGCCATCCCTGTCCTGCGGGGCCAGCGGCACCGGTAGGGTCACGCAGCGTGACCACAGCGGGTAAGGCTGTTGGGTTGTGTGGGGGTGGGGGGGATTTGGACTTGATTGGAAAGTTTGTACCGTGTGTGGTCGTTGTTGGGACTGAGTGCAAAGTAACCTGCTTTCTGTCTGCCTCTTTCTCACAGCAAAACTAACGGTGTGGTTCGTTTCTCTTAGGACAAGACCAGTGCTCTGAGCCTGAGCAATGTGGCCGGGGTTTTCTATATTCTTGTCGGAGGCCTTGGGCTGGCCATGATGGTGGCTTTAATCGAGTTTTGTTACAAGTCTCGGGCAGAGTCCAAGCGAATGAAACTCACCAAGAACACCCAAAACTTTAAGCCTGCTCCCACCACCAATACCCAGAATTACGCTACGTACAGAGAAGGCTACAATGTGTATGGCACAGAAAGCGTGAAAATCTAGGGGTACGAGTAAGGTCCAGTCAACTAGAAATCCTCTTCCTTAACTTCTGTGTGTTCTTCTAACTTCTGTGGGGATTTAAGTGAGCCTTTCCCTGCACAGGAGCAGGCTGCTCTGGGGGCTCCGGGCTGCAGCAAGGATCCATCTCCCCAGCAATCCGTGGCTCGCTCAGCCCATGTCTTTTGTTAAGAAACAGCTGCACGGGCAGCCAGGGAGAAGCGTCCCGGGGGTGGGAAATGCCCCAGGCCCCCAGCGCTGCTGTGCTGCCTGCAGGGAAGCAGGACAGGGGCTTCCCCGCTCTGTCAGAGCTCCACGCTGCCTCCTTCCCCGTGCAGGTTGGTTCCTTGCTGTCTCATGAGGTCTTCTCAGAGGAGACAAATGAAGTCTTGTTTTTGTTGCAGATCCTCGCTCTGACAGCGTGCAGGAGGAGAAGCAGCAGAGAATGTGGCTACTTCATGGATTCGGACCACCTGAGCCAGTCGCACTCTAGCCGAGGTGTCAGGTATGACACGCATTGATGATGGTGCAATGAACTTTTAATAGGAAAAACTGATTTTTTTCCTTCAGTGCCTTATGGAAGACTCTGAGACTCACAACAATGCAAAACCATCACTGAAATATTCTTGCTTTGCTTGAAAAAAGAAAAAGAAAAAAGAAAAGGAAAGAGAAGAGAAGAAA